AAAAACATTTTGAAACCAGAGAAAGCTGGTGGTTGCACAACATTGTGAATACATTAAATACCACTCAAGTGTACACTTTAAAATGGTTAATTATATATTGTGTGAATTTCACTTCAATTTAAGAAATGACATAATTCCCTGATCTACAGACTTAATGCAATCCTGTCAAAATCCCCATTGGCTCCTTTGAGAAAATTGACAAGTTTATTCTAAATTTCATATGAAGATTCAAGGGACCCAGAATAGTGAAAATGGTACTGAAAAAGAATAACAAAAGACTCACATGCCTTGATTTGATTTAATAACTTGGTATTAATGCAATACTACAGTAATTAAGATGGTGTACTATAGGGATTAGGAGAGACGTATAGATCAATGGAGTACAATTGAGAGCACACACACACACAAAAAAAACCTTCACACATTTATAGTCAATTGGATTTTGACAGGGTTGCCAAGACAATTCAATAGGGGAAAAAATAGCCTTTTCAACAATGGTGCAATGACAACAGGATTGATGTTTACTCATCATCTGATAGACACCAAATTCCAACTGTTATCTGTACAAATCATTTTAGTTTACACTCAATGAAGGCTTCCCTTCCCTCTTCCATCCACCTACTCTTTTCCATCACCCACCTCTGCACCTCCATGTAGAGCATTCCAATCCATCTGAAACCCTCCTCCGACTCTCACTGCAAATATTTTATGGCCTATTTCAATTTGCAGGAATTCAGGAAACCCACCTAGGTTAAGCCATTCTTTCCCATTCTCAAATAAACTGTGTGCAATAATGATGCTCATCTTCATCATATGGCATATTTTATATTTTCATATTTGTCAGTAACTGATTCCATTTCACCTGAAATATGCATTCTGTTTCTCCTTGGGTAGATTTATACATATATATTTTTTAAGTTCTGGGATACATGTGCAGAAGGTGCAAGTGTGTTACATAGGTATACACGTGCCATGGTGGTTTGCTGCACCCATCTTGACCCCGGCATTGATGCTCCCCTCCATGTGTCCATGTGTTCTCATTGTTCAACTCCCACTCATGAGTGGGAGCATACAATGTTTGGTTTTCTGTTCCTGTGTTAGTCTGCTGAGGATGATGGTTTCCAGCTTCAACCATATCCCTGCAGAGGACATGAACTCATCCTTTTTTATGGCAGCACAGTATTCCACAGTGTATATGTGCCACATTTTCTTTATCCAGTCTGTCATTCATCAGCATTTGGGTTGGTCCCAAGTCTTTGCTATTGTGAATAGTGCTGCAATAAACATATGTGCACCTGTGTCTTTATAGTAGGATGATTTATAGTCCTTTGCTATAGTATGGCTGAATATGAAATTCCGGATTGAAAATTCTTTAAGAATGTTGAATATTGGCTCCCACTCTCTTCTGGCTTATACTGTTTCTGCAAAAAGATCTGCTGTTAGTTTGATGGACTTCCTTTGTCTTAGGGTTGCTCTTCTCAAGGAGTATCTTTGTGGTCTTCTCTTTATTTCCTAAATTTGAATGTTGGCCTGTCTTGCTAGGTTGAAGAAGTTATTCTGGATAGTATACTGAAGAGTGTTTTCTAACTTGGTTCCATTCTCCCCATCACATTTAGGTACACCAATCAAACATAGGTTTGGTCTTTTTACATAATCTCATATTTCTTGGAGGCTTTGTTTGTTCCTTTTCATTCTTTTTTCTCTAATCTTGTCCTTGCATTTTATTTCATTAGGTTGATCTTCAATCTCTGATATCCTTTCTTCTGCTTGATCAATTTGGCTATTGATACTTGTGTATGCTTTACAAAGTTCTTGTGCTGTTTTCTTCGGTTCCTTCAAGTCATTTATGCTCTTCTCTAAACTAGTTATTCTAATTAGCAACTCGTGTAACCTTTTTTAAGGTTCTTAGCTCCTTTGCATCAGGTTAGAACATGGCCCTTTGGCTCGGTGAGGTTGTTATTACCCACCTTCTGAAGCCTATTTCTGTCAATTCATTAAACTCATTCTCCATCCAATTTGTTCCCTTGCTGGAGAGGAGTTGTGATCCTTTAGAGGAGAAGAAGCATTCTGGTTTTTGTAATTTTCAGCCTTTTTGCACTGTTTTTTTTTTTTTTTTCCTCATCTTCATGGATTTATCTACCTTTAGTCTTTGATGCTGGT